CCCCCCCCCCGGCCCCCCCCCCCCCCCCCCCCCCCCCCCCCCCCCCCCCCCCCCCCCCCCAACCCCCCCCCCCCCCCCCCGTGTGCCCCGCCGCCCATAAAGCCCCCCACCCGGCCCGCCCACCGCCAGTCCCCAGCCTGCCCCCCTCGCCGTGCTCTCCCAACCGTTGTCGCTCCCTGCCCGGCCAGCGTCTACGCCGTATTCTCGACTCCTCCCCTTGCTCTCTCTTTTTTTTTTTTTTTTTTTTTCTCTCCTTTTGTGTGCGTGTTGCCCGTTTTGCTTTTTCCGGCCGTGGTATTTGTATTTGTATGTGTATTTTTATTTTTATTTTTTTGGCTTTTTCCTCGCCTGCCTGCGAAGAGAGCCCGGTCGTGGTGGTGATGCGAGTGCGCGCGCCGCCGCCTGCCAGTAGTTTCTATATAATTCACTCCCCTTCCATGCTCGCCCTCTCCGTCGCTCGACCCGTCTGAGCCTGCTCCGCCTTGCCATTCACTCATTCCCTTGCTTCCGGTCCATCGGTGGTTCCCGTCGTCTTGGTTGTGCATTCTCCTGGGTTCTCCCGCCGTGGCCATCTAGTTAAATGGGCCGTGCCGCTGCTGCGAAACCTTTGCTTGACTCTGGCTCTCTTCTTGTCGCGCCCCCCAATAATAAACCCATCTCCTCTCTCACCGCCCACCGCTTTGTTGAAGCTGCACCCTGTCCGTCTAGACTCCCCATCGCCAACATGCACGCTCGAGCCGCCTTGCTGATCGGCGATATCACCCATTGCAGGCGGGACTGGGACCGCCTGGCCACGCTGGTCGTCCTCAAGGTATGTACGTCCGCCACCATCACGCTCCCGTCATCGCTCGCCGTCTTCTGGCTTGGTGGTCGTCTGTATCTGCCCCCTCCCCAGTGGCCCGTCGATGCCCGTCCGGCGTGGGACAGCCCCACTCGCGCATTCGCTCGCCACGCAAGTGCAAGCTGGAATGGTGACACAAGGAAGAAATAATGGCTCATGTTGTCGGGGACGCTCCCCGCAAAGATGCTCCTTGTTCAACTCCACCGCGCGCCTTGATTGGCTGCTGCAGGGGCCCTTCGAGATCGGCGGCCATCCAGCCGGAAGCGGGCAGAGACAGGTCGTTCCGGTCTTTCCTTGTGGCCAACCAATCCCAGGAGCCAATTGGCGCTGACCACTCTTGAACCCCAAGGAATTCGCCTGCGGAACCCGAGAGAAGTTCATTCGCAACTGCAAAGCCGGAGCGTACGATGATGTCGTCGTGATTTTTCGCTCAAACGCTTCCACCAGGGTACGTGTCTCGCGTTGATCATTTCGGCTGCTCCGCGATACCGTGCGTTTTGCATACATAGCTAAGCAATAGTGGTGGTACTGCAGTTAACCGGGCGTTTTGACCTCGAAATCCTGTGCGCTCTACCAAAATCCGTCAAATACATTTGCCACAATGGTGCTGGATACGACAATATTGACATCAACGCATGCTCTGACAGAGGTCAGTTTTTCTCACTTGACGTTCTGACGGGACGATGTGCTCACTTTAACGCCATAGGAATTTTGGTTTCAAGCACCCCAATTGCCGCCAACAATGCTACCGCAGATATTGCCATCTTCTTGATGATTGGCGCACTCAGACAAGCATACACCCCAATATCTTCTCTCAGAAGTGGTACGTTAACCGTCATCGTGCAACCGAATCAATGTCACTTACCGAATTGTAGGACAATGGACTGGAAAGACGTCACTTGGACATGACCCACGAGGGAAAACCTTGGGAATTCTGGGGATGGGCGGAATAGGAAAGGCAAGTCACGCGCTCAGTGGCTACAAGCACGCACATGCTAACAAACCTCAAGGAAGTAGCAATTAGAGCCAAGGCGTTCGGAATGAACATCCTGTATCACAATCGCCACCGGCTTTCGCGAGACCTGGAGGGAGATGCAACGTATGTCCCCTTCGGAGAATTACTCTCCAGGTCAGATGTTCTCAGCCTCAACCTATCGCTGAACGCCTCGACACGACACATCATCTCCGATCCGGAGTTTGCCAAAATGAAGGATGGCGTAGTGATTGTGAACACGGCAAGAGGCGCCTTGATCGACGAGAAAGCCCTTGTTTGCGCCCTCAACTCCGGCAAGGTCCGTACCCTCCGCTCTAACGTATCAACAGGCTCGTGTGCCCGCTGACTGTTGTGGGACATAAGGTCTTCTCAGCTGGCTTGGATGTCTATGAAAACGAGCCCGCCATTGACCCTGGTCTCGTTAATAATCCCAGGGTCATGCTTCTCCCGCACATCGGCACGACCACATATGAAACCCAGAGAGAAATGGAATTACTTGTGATCGAAAACGTGAGATCCAGCCTTGAAAAGGGCACTCTCATCACTCTGGTGCCCGAGCAAAGCGGCTCATCCTGCCAGCGAAACGGCTGCGTCGACCGCCACGTACATCAGAATGGGAGAAACGGCCGTCTTATTTGAAATGTACATTTCTTTAATGACTCTTGATTGCTGTTTGTTCTTATCTTTTTTTGTTTTTTTAGATTTTGGGTGTAGACTGTGAGATGCGGCGTTGAGTGAGAGCTTTTGGAGAATGTAAACTACCTGAGCGGCGTGCTTGATGTTAGTTAAAGGGGTGGGGGGGATCTTCATGAGCGTATTGTGCGGCTTAGTTTCGGAATTCAGTCTAAGAGACATGCATAGCTGTCTCTCAATACTCTCAATGCAGCGAGCCGTGTTGTTGATCATTGGAGTTCGCAAGGTTGTCGGAGGCGGAAGGCTCGTTTTGCCGGTGGATGACTAAGCATCTCCCTACGGTGTAGGCGGCGGGAGCCACTAGAGTTGCACTAAGTCAGTATTAGACTAGCGCTAGGGCTTTGTCGCGTAGTCAGCCTGCTCGCTTACCCAAGCGAAAAAAGGCACAACTTTGCTTGGGAGAGAGAGACCGAGTTGAAGATCAATCAACCGACGCCATCAGGGACCATCTCATCGACACGACAACCTGCTCAAGATGGTGAGTTCTTTCGAAGCCCGCTCTTCCCCCCGGAACAGCGCTCTTTTTGCAAAGAGCTGCCCGAAAAAACTCTCGTTCGCCGTGAGGACATGACCAAACTAACCATCCGTTATTGTGAATTTGAAGGTCCGCTACGCAGCCCAAACGATCCCCAGCGCAAAGAGCGCGCGGTCCCGCGGCTCCTACCTGCGCGTCAGCTTCAAGAACACCCGCGAGACTGCCCAGGCGATCAATGGCTTTAAGCTGCAGCGCGCAGTTGCCTTTTTGGAGAATGTGATCGGACACAAGGAGGCCGTGCCCATGAGGAGATATGCTGGCAGCACTGGACGATGCGCTCAGGGTGAGTTGATTGCTCGAGTGGTTTCTTTTGGTTTGATTGGGGATGTGTTGGGCGAATTGGAGTTTGGTTTAAGAGATGGGTTTCTATATTGTTTGGGAGGGTTAGGCTTGGGACGATGCAGAGGAGAATATGGCCGGGGCTGATGAAGCGGTTGATGAAGTGTGCTGCCGTCAAGCCTGATTCCCTGCAGGGCAACGAGATGCTCTATCAAACTCCATTCTCGCCAAATATGCCAATGGTTGTCAATTCTTTAAGCCATAATACTAACATATACCTCTCCTCTCCAGGCAAACAATTCGGTGTCTCCAAGGCCCGCTGGCCCGTCAAGTCCGCCGAGTTCCTCCTCGGTCTCCTCAAGAACGCCGAGGCCAACGCCGACACCAAGGGTCTTGATACCGGCAACCTCATCGTCAAGCACATCCAGGTCAACCAGGCCCCCAAGCAGCGAAGACGCACCTACCGTGCGCACGGTCGTGTATGTTGCTCCTTGTTTCCATCGATCTTGAAATGCAGCGTTTATTTGCACTGCCTTTGGTCTCCGCTCCTTACTGACGTTTGGTTTTAGATCAACCCCTACATGTCGAGCCCCTGCCACATCGAAATGATCCTCACCGAAGCTGATGAGGTTGTCCAGAAGGCCTCTTCTCTCGCTGGCCAGGGTAGACTCACATCCAGGCAACGAGGTTCCCGCGTGCGCCAAGCCATCACCGAAGCATAGACTTCTTTTTTAAACCCTTTTTTATTAAAAAAATCAAGCACGATACATCTTGAGATGGGACAAACAGAGAGAGGAAAAAAAGAAAGAAAGGGCGTGAAATGAGCTGTGGGGCGTTTCTCACCATTCTCTTATTATCATTTTTTTTCTTCTTCTAGTCTTGATGTCTCAAATACATGACTGTTCGTAATGCGGCGCGTCTTAGGTCTTGATGCATACAATCTGGTGGTCCTTGGGTTGAATTCTATTCCCATTCCCTGTTCAAATCATGCAGCTGATTTAATGTCCCAACCTTTCTGTATTTTCGTTTCTGTATGGCTGCACCTGTTGCGTTGCGGAGTCGGTTTCCCACCATCAAACCTACTTACCTTCGCAAAAATAATGCCATATCAGACGTTCGGGCCATGATCCGCCAGCGCACCTTTTAACAGAGACATAAACCCGGTTTGAAGATATTACATTCGAACTCGAAGGTCGTGTGCTCTTGATAACAGACTCAAATGTGAACCTCCAAGTCTATCAGATAAATAGTCATACATCATGAAGTAACAAGACAAGATCCACAGGTAGGACGGCTCAAATCATAGGAACACCACCAGTAAATACTCCGTACTCCATATATTCACAAGAAACAAACTTCCACAAGGCTGTCGCCAGCAGCGCATAACGAGGCCAACAAATAATAGTCAATCAATCACCTATTCTACATCTAGCCCCTCTTGGTGCCAGTCCGCAGGCCCACTCGCAGGCCCCGAGCCCGCAGCCACCATCGACTCCAAAGCGGCCGTGTGATGCTTGCTCGTCTGTATCGTACTCATCGAGTACAGCATGACAAACACCAGAACATGCAAAGCCAAGCAATACGCGGCAAACAGATTCCTGCTTGTTCGATTCGCGAGGACGATTCGAGTGATGGTGAAGATCATGCGCTCGGGTAGACTCATTCGGTTATACGCACGGTCGGATTCACGGCTGCGGAATCGGGCGAATGGTGATATCTTGGCCTCATAAGCGGAATGATATCTGGTGAGGGGAGAATCGGAGTCAATTTGAATTGATGTAGAATGTGGCGTTCTGTTAGCAGCTAGGGCGGCCGAAGATGACGAGGATGTCGTGTGGACGCCTCGATTATAGGTTGAGACGTAGCGGGTCTTTTCGTAGAGGCCAAGATTGTCTTCTTGTAAAGAAGCAATTTCTTGCCGGAGTCCTCTAATGGTGACATGCATATTGGAGATCTCTTGCTCAAGCTCTGAGTTTCTTTTCTTAAATCGATCACGCTGGGCTTGCACCATCGGTAGAATTCCGGATCCACCACCGAGAGCGTCACCAGATCGAATTCCTTCAAGATTATTTCCAGATATCATGCTGTGATCGAATCCAGATATGATCGAGGAAGTCGGAGACACCCTGCCCCTTCTTGCCGCATATGGATGTCTGGACGCATAAGTCCCAGCAACAGACATTGCTGATGAATTAGGTGCCTCTTTCTGCACCCGAATAATATCATTTTCAAGACTGGCAGTTAGGTTCCTGGATCGTTCTAGATCGGCGTTTGTTTTCGAAACTTCTTCCCTGAGAGTTTCCAACTGGGTCTCGAGATCACGATGTGAAACTCTAAGAACAGTGAGTTCGTCCGAAAGTTTCTTGTTTCTAGCCATCAACAACTGCTCCAGATTGTTTTCATTCGAACTTGAGCCAGTCTCGCCGATGGACCCCTTAAGGTCAACGTCATCGTCGTCTCCAGTTGAGAACTCAATGGTCTTTAGGAACATGTTAGTAGGCAGCTCAAGTCTATATTTGGAGAGACTTACCTTGATAACTTCTAATTCTCGCCGTATATCGTCGTAATCTGCAAATTTTTCCAATTTCCCACGTAATTCGTCTCGTTCTGCTGTTACAGAGGTATTGAGTCTCTCGATTTGGCGCACCTTTGCCTCCAATGAATTCTTCTCCGCATCTCTGTCAAACCGTGAAGAGTCCAATTTTCGTAGCAGCGATGAGTTCTCCGACTGTAAACGAAGATAGGCCGGGTCTTCCTCCACTGGTCGCGAGTTAAGTTCCGATTGTGAATGCGAAATAGCCTGAGCAAGGTCTAATCTTAATTGCTCATTTCGAGCCTCTACATCAGCCAGTCTGAGGCTCGTTTTCTCTAAATCTGTAGATAAAATTTCCAGCTCCGCGGCAGTGGCTGCACTTCGCTGTGCGTCTCCACCATCTTGGCTGTCGAGTCTCTGTGAAACCTCGTAGCTAGCTTTGATTTCCTTCAATAGACGTTCGTTATTTTCTGCTTTTTCTTCGTAGCTCTTCTCTTTGGCTTCCCAGTTGCTAGTCTTTTCTGCAAGTACAGCGTTCCAAGACGCCTCGACTTCTTGGAGCTTGGTTTTCTGTTGCCGCTCTAATTCCCGTCGCAAGGATCTCTCTTCCTCCAATTTCTTTTCTACCGTGTCAAGCTGCGAAGTAAGTCGGCTCACACTCTTTTGAAGAGTATCCTTCTCCGATTTTAACTTCGGTAGTGTATCTTCCGATAGGACAAGTGAGTCAATTGAAGCTTCGAGTAAAGGGTAAGGATCTGGCGCCTCTGATAATGCAGAATAAAGCTGCAAGAACGCGGAAGAGGATGATTTGCCGTGCGTTGTTAATAGGTCAATGAATGCCTGGTAGGCTAGAAGCATGTCAGTGGTGATTATTATCAAAGCGAAAAGGACCAGCTATACATTTCAACAAAGCTTTATACTCGGCAAGTTTAGATGCATCTTCAAGTTTCCGGAAATCCTTTGTTTTCTGTGCCAGATCTTTACGCTGTACAAGGGAGTCTCGCTGGTGGGCTACGATGTCCGAAGCCGCTGTGTCTAGTTTGGAGACAAGATTTGCCAAATCGATACCTTTTGCAGTCAGTCACCAAGCACGCATAATTACCTGCAGAATACCCGAAATGCAGCACATACTTCTCCATGCCAAAATGGCCTTCTGAAACTTGGTTTCTTGAGGCTTCTCAATGTTCTCAACAGGGGCGTCGTCACTAGCATTCTCCACTACTGTCGCGAGAGTGTCCATCTTTGCAAGAAAAAAAACTGCTAAGAGAGCGACCGTAAGGATCAGCAGGAGCTGTGTATAATCCTCCCTAAGCCGATGTCGTCCCCTGGAGACTGAAGCTGCACATCGACTTGAACACTGTACCTAACTACGTAGTTACTTTACGGATCAACGTTCCTCCGGGTCACTAGTGATCTTCAACCACCAGGGCAGGGATAGGCAGCTGATAGAAAGCAGGGAACTCCTCCTCATGGACCAGTGTGGTGGTGCAAAGGGGAAACGGGCATCATGGGCGCGGATGGCGATGTCGACGGGCCCAGGAAACGCCGAAAGCTCAATCCCCCCGAAACCGGGCCCTATGTCCTTAGGCAGCTTGTTGATCAGATACCAGTTTCAGCAGAAGGGGACCAGGGCGCTCACATCACTTGTGTAGAATATTGGAGTATGTATTTTGCCGAAACTTCCCCCGCAGGTAACTGATCTTCGGATGATACTAGATGACAACCTTTACGTTGGAACCTCTCTTGGAGAGGTACTGCATTTCGTTTCCCTTCCAGGCGATGGCCCCAACAGCGATACCACCGACCCAACTTTAATATTGGCTTCCAGACTTCCAGTCTCCGCTTCTATTAATACGGCTACCCCAGATGTACCTGTTGGGGTTCAGCGAATCTTGGTCGTCCCCAGAGCGAACAAAGCGTGTATTCTTTGCGATGGGGTTGTCTCGTTTTATTCACTTCCGGAACTCAGTCCCGCTTACGGAACAACGAAAGTTGGGAATTGTAGCTGGATAGGAGGGCTTGACCTCAATGAATCGGCAGGCGACGATGAAGGGGGTGATCCTGTTGTTATGATAGCACGGCAAAACAATCTTATGCTTGTTCGCATGGGCGAGGAGCCACGGCGGGTAAAAAACATAGAATTCCCAGGCTGCCTTGCCGGTGTTCGCCGGGACACTATTGGCTGCGTTGCTGATGGGTTTTCATACTCTCTCCTTGATGTTGAAAGGCGCCAAAAGATACATCTTTCAAAAATTCGTCCATCGGAGGAACAAGAGGATCCCGAGCTTCAAAATATTCCGAAAAGGCCAGGAATTTCTATGCATCGCCACTCCGCGAGCTCTAATGGAAATGAATTGTTGAATGAAAATCGAATACACGGCAGAAGTTCAAGTCTAAATGCTGTGGACGCTCAATTTGATACACGGCGCCGCAGTCCTGAATCAAGGGCCCTCCCCAGATCCCTTTCAAGGACCCCGGATCCAGACGCCAGGGCATCTCCAAATCGCCAACTGACCACCCATGGGTCTTCCGATACTCCAAGTAACGGCTCAACCATGCCACCTCTAACCCAGAAAGCATTGCCACGCCCGCCGGCTTCTGAATTATCCACATTCAAGCCCCACGTTGTTTCTCCTACCCCTTCAGAATTCCTGTTTGTGACGGGAACAGAAGAATCCGGCGTAGGGGTTGGCATGTTCGTGAATCTTGACGGCGAGGGAACACGAGGCACAATAGAGTTCCAAACGTATCCGGATGCCATTGTGCTTGATAACGACAGCGATGGTACGGGATCGGCTGCAAACAATGATAGTGAGGAAGGGTATATTCTTGCTGTTGTTGATTCTAACAATGGTGAGGAGCTTGACAAACAAATCGAGGCGCAGCGATGGGATCTCAACCCAGGGGAAGGCGAAAGGCATAAGTCATTATTAGCGATTCCCTTGTGCGAGTCCTCGCCAGGGCCTATAGGTATCCACAGAACTGTTAGCTCCACCCAAGTCAGCTTTTCTAGAGTCGGAGATATCATGCGAATGGTGCGACTTAAGTTGTCATCTCGACCGGAAAACGCAGACCCAAGAACTAAAGCCTCGATCGAACAATTGCAGAAGGAAAAGGAGCTTTTTGAGTCCCAAGAAATTGACCCCAGCACCATAGACCAACCGTCTTCTGGGTTTCAACCTGAATGGGAAGTACAAAGAAGCCAAGAAGAAGCTAAGCTAGCTATGAATCTAGCTCACGTTAACAGTGGTGTACTTCTTTGGGGAGGGAACTGCATATGGCGCGTAGTCCGAAACCCCTTAGCCCTACAACTGGAAAATTCTTTGCAGCTTGCCCAGCCTGAGCTGGACGATGGTCTTCAAACAACTGATTTGACAGCGATTACACAGCTACTAGATGAAATGGCTACTATTATTCCAAAGACGGAAAACGAGTTTCGTGGCCTCAACTATGTCATGCAAAAGGCAAGCTTAGTCCTATTCGCCCATTTGATATCAACGGATCAAGCATTTCATACGACGGAGATGATCAAAGCGACCGAACTCGCACTCATCAATGGGGGTTTGGACCCACGAGTTTTATTACTCTTAATACCGTTGGTTAAGTCGGAAGTTCTCGAGAGCTCCCAGGGGATATGGGTTAATCGTGGCCTCGCAATGGTCGCGGAGCCATTGATCGAAACCTCAGAAAATGGGGATATGAATAAAAAAACGTTTCAAGACATTGACGTACGTATACTAATGATGACAGTAAGGTTTCTGCTTTCGTGGCAGAAAAAAAGAGGCTATGGAAGTATCGCCGATGAGATGTATGTTTTCAATAGCGTCGATGCGGCCCTATTACACCTGTTACTGGAGCTTGACAGTAGCCACTACCGTAAGGCCAATGCTCCCGCTGCCTCTTTTGCACGCACAGAGTTAAACAGACTGGTGGACAATTGGAAGGGTGACTTTGAGCGTGCGATTGAATTACTCGAAGATTACAGGAGGCTGTTTGTGCTTAGCAGGCTGTATCAGAGTCAAAAAATGTCCAAACATGTTCTTGGAACTTGGAAGAGAATAATAGAAGGCGACACAGACGCCGGAGGAGAATTATCTACGCCAGCTGCGGAGATACAGGTCCGCAAGTATCTTGTGAAATTAAGAGATAGTAAGGTTGTTGAGGAATATGGTGCCTGGCTCGCGTCAAGAAATCCTACACTGGGGATACAGGTCTTTGCAGACGATACCAGCAGGATTAAGCTTGATCCAGTACAAGTCATTCCGTTACTGAAGGAAAACGCACCAGGTGCCGTGCAGGTCTATCTGGAACACCTGGTATTTGCAAAGAACGTAAGTGATAAATAAGTCATGTTAAGATGTTCCTACATTTGCATTAACAGCAATATGCAGTGCTCTCAGTACGCGGATGACCTTATCGGATATTACCTTGATACGGTTATTTCCGTGCTTGAAAATTCCCCTGAGGCACGGACGTCCCTCGCTGAGTCATATTCGACATACAGAGCGCTTCGCCCCCCAAAGCCATCCTATCTTGGATTCATATCTGAAAATGCACCGCCCAACAACTGGTGGCAGTCGCGTCTTCGACTTCTTCAACTTCTTGGCGGCGAATCCAGAAGCCAGTTTACTTCTACACCTACCCCCCGAGACCTGTCATACTCAATCACCGCTGTTCTAAATCGTATTGAACCGTTTCAAAACGAGCTAGTGTCTGAAAACATCATTCTAGGGGGCCGTCAAGGCCGTCACCATGAAGCTCTCCATTTGCTTACCCATGGACTTGGAGACTATGACACGGCAATTCGATACTGTGTATATGGTGGATTCTCCGCCTCGCCAACATCCACGCCTCCTGTTACTGAAGAGTCTTTGAAATTTCGAAAAGACTTATTCACCCGTCTCTTGCGAGAATTTCTCGAGATACCAGATTCGTCTGACCGTATCGAACGCACCTCTGATCTCCTTACCCGCTTCGCAGCGCTATATGACGTAGGAGACGTGCTCTCAGTTGTTCCTGATGATTGGACTGTCGATGTTCTCTCGGGGTTTCTGGTTAGAGTCCTGAGAGACTTATTGACTGAGAAGAGAGAGGTGAAAGTACAAAGAGCGCTCAGTGCAGGGTTGAATCTTAAGGTTGGAGTGGAAATGTTGGAGAAGGGAGATAAGGCCGGCGGTGGCTGGGTAGAAGAAGAAAGTGGCGTGAGGGCGCTGAATAGTGGCAAATCTAAGGATATTAAAGGGAAGAAGAGGGCAATTGTGGATGTAAATGAGCGACGATGAATTGGGATAGATATACTTTTTTTTTTCCTACGACTTTATGAAGTTGGCCGTTATTGTTAATAGCGGGCCTGTTACATATACGTATGCACATACGGGGATAAGGTCCTCCAACTAGTTCCAGATATATAGCATTACCGGGGCAATTCTACTTAATTCTAATAGCACAATTACCTAGCGCATAGCGGGCTTTCTATCAATGATATTAGGGCGCATCAAGACTGGGCCCAACCATAGACATGAATTACGGCCTATGAAAGGAAAATTGACGGATAAGAGTTGTATGTAAATTCCAAAATATACAAGTCCGCTGGCTCAGCCCCATCTGAACGGAATGAGATATTACAGTAAATCGAAAGAAATAGGCCACGCTCGCTTAATCCAGATCAGGAACAGGTAGTCCATTCACAATCCTAACCTTCTGGCCCAGTTTAGACAGAGCTTCGGTGGAATTTTTGTCTCTTAGATTCTTCGTGTCCTCTTCAGACACGAGAACAAAATCATGTGTGATCAGGGCAGTTTCAAGGGGAACACCGTATTTAGCAGCCATTTCAGGGTCTGTAACGGTGGTGGTGTCCACGACGAGGGATGATTTGACTCCAAAAACAGCATCGGAGCTTTCAAACGGGTCACCACGGAGGAAGAGGGAGCTGTGTAAATAGATTTAGTTTCAAAATTCATTGGGCCTTGAGATGAAAGGGGTAGAGATCTTACGATATCAGATGGTCGAACCCTGGCTTTTCAAACATGAAATGCATGTGTGCCGGTCGATAGGGATGGCGTTTCAGCAGCGTCAGCATTTTCCCCACCGGTCCGTCATGTGGAATTGGATACGGGACGGGTTTGATAGCTTTAAACCAGAAAGCACCCTGGGCATCGCTATGCAGCACACCTCGACCATCCGGCTTGGTGCGATTGGGGTGCTGCACGTCATAGTGGCCCGTCGAATCGGTCTCCCAGATGTCGACCTTGACGCCCTCGATCGGATTGCCTGAGGTGTCCGTGACGGTGCAGGTGACGAGAAGAGGCTCGCCCTCGGGGTCGTGGGAGAGCTGGTCGCCAGAGTCCAGGTGTTCGGCGTCGTGCGTGTGGAAGGGGCCGAGGACGGTGCCTTCGGTGGAGCCGGGGGGTTTGGGGTGGTCAATGGCATCGATGAGCAGAGAGAGACCGAGGACGTCGGAGAGAAGGATGAATTCCTATATGGCTTCGCGATTAACCTAACATAGCCAATTTTACGGTGAATATCCCCGCGGTAAAACACCACAAACTCACCTGTCGGACATCAGTGCACATCTTGCCCACCTCCGTCAAGAAGAGCAAGCCGGTCATCCACTCCTGGGTGCTTAGTCTGGTCTCGCGGGCAAAATCATGTAGATGGGTAACAAGTCGGTCCATAACAAACTTCATGCGGGCATCAGGACATTGCGAGTTGATTAGAATGGTATTCTCAGTGATATTATCAATCGTGAGGTCCTTCAGAGGAGGGACCGTGATCTGTGAAGGATCCATGGTGATATCTCAACGCAGCAGAAATATAGGCAGCCTGTTCTATGCCTTGCGAAGAATTGAAGCTAGCAGCAATGAAGCACTAGCGGCCAACAGCGAAGTCGAACAGGCGCAACAATTCCAATCCTATGACTCAAAGGCGTAAAAAGCGCAGCTGCCAGAGAGCGGGGGTGAGAAGAGCAGCCCATCAGTATTTATGCGGCCGCACCAACTCCAGACCCGTCCCACCATCCTCTCCGCAGCCAGCCAGCTAGTTAGCTAGTTAACTAGTCAACTCAACCCCAGGTCCGCCAGCGAATCGGCCGGCTTGCAGAAAAAGGGGGGCGCATCGAGTTTCTGGCACCACCACCAGCAAACCGTTTCGCTCACACACCTGATGACAAACACGGCCGTCATCCACGTCTATCGGCCGCCGGCATTTGGCGCGTTGTCGTTCGGATCTCCGACCCGGCAAGTCAAGCCCGGGGCACGCTTAGCTAAGCGGGCTCCCCGCGCGCGCCTAAATCGCCTGCGTTAGTCAGCGGGCGGACCGTTTTCCGCGCTGGCCGGAGGATATAGATATTCCGGAGGCTTAGTCAGGTGCGTTTAGTCAGCGGGCCCGAGCGGCCAATTGTCGCAATTCCGCCTTGCGGAGCCTTCTGGAGCGAGCGAGATGACCTAGAGCGGCCGCAAATCAGCCTTTATACCGGTATGATGGGCTGGCCGCCTGATGTTCCACTTTCAGGCAAAGCTAGTTTATTATTATGTATACTCTATACGGAGTACGCGCAACACTTTTCATCCCCCATTTTTCCGGTCGGATGAAGTGGAAAAGCCCTCTAAAATAGCGAGGCATATCATGCCCAAGAGAAGTTGGGGACGTAATCAAAATTCCCACGCCTTGGGCTTGACAAGTAAATAATAATAGTAAGCAATAATCGCCGTCGCCAGCACGCAAATCAAAGAAATTTTGGCTTGTAATTCACTAAATACCATCGTCACGCTAAAAAAAAAGGTGTTGGGCAGCAAAAACGCGGACAGGAGTTGCGTAGGATAAAAAAAAAGCTAGATAAAGAAGGCGAAGAGCTGTTGGCTAGATAAAACACAAACATAAAACCATCCAATAATCTTGGGATATTGTCAACTTTGGGGGTCCAAAGAACATGATGAGCTAAACAGTTGAAGCGAAATCACAATATCACATTCCTTCCCACCTACTTTGCCATAGCTTGCTGCGCCTCGACTCGCTCACGCTCGGCGGCTGAGCGAGCATGGTGCTGGTTCATCGTATCCAGGATGGCTTGCGCCAGCGGGTCGGGGGGGTCTTCAAGGTCATAGTCGGCGCCATAGCCATTGCCATTCATGTGGCTATGGTCATGTTGTCGAGGCTCCCTTCGTCGGGTATCACTGATGGGGGACACCATGTTTTCGCTCAGAGATCGTTGGGGAGGTGACGCTCGGGCTGATAGCTGCGGTTCCGAGGCAGGGCGGACAGTGGGTGCAGGGGTGTCAGCGTTCACTGGGTTGAAACCGGTCCTCTCCAGACCTTCATGGCCTTCTTGAAGGAGGCTCTGGGAGCCTTCCTGGCTTTGCCGCGGATAGAGGTCACGCAGTTCCTCCAATCTTACCTCTTTCCAGGAACATTTTGCATGCTTTTTGGTGCAACCCATGCACGCAGTTAAGTTCTTGAGGCAGTCCATATGCAGCCGGCGGCAGCGATCACAGGGCGGCAGTACACGCTCACCCCGCTGAAGGGTCTCCATTCTACTAACCATCTCACTTTTATACGGGCCCCCATCATCACGTTCGTAGTGATTAGCAGATTTCGTCTGCGGGAGGAGGGAGGAGGGAGTGCTTGGGATCGCGACGGGGGCATAAGGTCCCATATATTCGCCGGGGTCAGACACGCGGGGGCGAGATGACCTGGAAGTGTGGCGGCTGACGTCTACGCTAGCGATTTCTTCATCGGGGAAAAGTCGGCGGTCTGAGGTAGTGAAAAATTTCTTCATTAGCTCTGCCCTCGTGCTGGGCGAAGCGCCTTTGATCGATGTACCATTGATAATAGTCACGTTATCCGTGTTCGGCTGTGAAAAAGCGAACTGCGCGCCAGAGACAACATGTTCATGGTCATTGTGGGGCTCCGAGCGCGTGTTGACGGCCACAAACCCCGACGGTGGGGAGAGCGAACGCGACTGGCCGTTGCCCGCAAAGGCGGCAGATACTCCGGTGCCATTAGATTCCTTCCAGGGGCTGGTAGGTCGAGGGATCTGCACGGCCAAGCCTGTATCGTTCTCCCGCCGTGAGATGATCGCGTTTCTGCGATTTTTAAGGCGATGGTTCAGCTGCCTGGCGCGGGCGGATACTAACCAGAATGCAGGTTTTAATAAAGAGGATTCGAGGTACAAGGATGCTGGGGTACTTTGCTCACCTTGATCTGCCAACTGAATGATCTGGGACAGATTCTTTTCGAGTATCTCGAGAGAACCGAGCTCTTTCTCCTCATCCTCACTGATAGGTTGGGGTGGGATCATCTTCTGCGGCATGCCCGAGGCAATCAGCACGTAATCCTCCTCGGAGATCTCGACACGACTCTGCTTGATGTAGATCTGGCAGACGCGCACGCCATTTCTGGTCTTCTCGAGGTTGAACTGCTCAGGCTTGCTTTTAGCAAACTCGACGACATCCAGCCAGCTCACTTGGGTGCCCTCCTTGCCATTCGACTTCAGCACGCGCGGGGGGTTGTCGAAGAGGCGCTCGAAGCGCTTGACCAGAATGGGGCCCAGCGGACAGGCGCCGAGGTTGCCGGCGATGCTCTCGTGGCGCTGCAGCACGCCGTCGTACTCGCCGATGAGGCGCACGATCGCGGGCAGGGTGTCGTCCGCGGACACCAGAGGCAGGTTCTCCGCGTATTGGCGCGCGAGGTAGTTGATCTGGAGATGGTTGGAGGTCTTCTGGACTTTGGATGCGATCGCAGGGAAGTCGGCGGTGGGCGACCGCGGGCGCTTGTTGGAGACTTCGGCCATGTCAGTCAGCGGGCGACACGCGCTGGTCGGTGCTGGGACGAGGTCAGCGGAAATCGCAACGGCAGAGAGGGCTCGCTTATCGGGAGGGCGGGCGCGCTAACATTGACAGCCAGAGTGCAGGCGGGAGGGTGGTTGCGTGGGCGAGCGTAAGAGAAGACGGGCCCAGGCAGCAGCCGCAGCAGAGCAAGACAGCTGGTAGGGTGGACGCAAGGGCAGCAAGCGCGAACAAGGAGCGACGTAGGGAGAGGGAGGAAAGAGAGAGAGAAGAAGGATGAGGGCGAGCGGAGGAGGGAGAAGAGGGCAACGGAGGGCGGAGGAAGAACGGAGGAGAAGGAGGGCGAGCGGGTGGAGGGCGGGAGGGCAGGAGGGCCAGGCTGGGGGGGGGTGGGAAGGCGCGGTTAGAGTTCGGGGGGGGCTACATCGGGCAAGAACAGCAGCAGGCCGGGCAGGAGGGAGGGGGGGGGGGGGGGAGGAGTGGAGAGCGCGTTACGGTATCAATACACAGACCGTACGGGGGCGCGACAGCGAGCAGCAGCAGGAGTGGCGGCGCCGCAGCGGCAGGCGTGCGCGCGTGCCGGCATCAGCAGCAGCAGCGGCGGCGGCGGCGACGGGGCGGCGAGGGGGGCTCGCTGGCCAACCAGGCCGCGGGCTCGCGAGCCACCGTTGGCAGGGGACGGGAACGGAAAACACGGCGTCAACTGACGGGCGATACGTGGGCTTGCGGGCTGGCGCGGCTCGTGATTCGCCGGAGCCCAGCCCGTCGCGCCCCGTGTGCCAATGCGCCAGCCGCACGCCGTACACCGCCAGATTCCCGCCTCGCACGCTGCGGTGGCCGCCAGCCTGGGGCGCGCCGTCCGTCCAGCGCACTCCTGCTGGGCGGGCGCAGGCAGCTCGCTAGCCGTGACCGTCTCCACGCCGCCGCCCGGGCCGGGTGTCCGTCGCCGCGCCCAGCGAGCCCACCCATTCCCCCCCCCCTCTCGCCAGCCGTGTCGCGAGACCAGCCAGCCCAGCGTTTCTTCTTTCGGGCGGAACCCCCCCATCCAGCCAGATCCCGCCCGGTCCTTTCCGCTCCCCAGAATAGGCTTAGCGCCGCGCCCGCAGCTCCGGCGCGCCGCACGCCCCCCCGCCTATCGCTCTCCCTGGCTCTCAGGCTCTCAGGCTCTCTCGTCCCCCTTCTCCCCCTTCTCGCTCCCCTTCCCCCTCCCCTCCCCTCTCCCCCCCCCAATCCCACCCAACCGCTACCCCAGCCTCCCAGCCCAGCCCCGCACAGCCACACCTCCTGCGTGTCTCGGATGCCACCTCCCTCCTCCCCCACGGCCAATCGCCGCCTTCTCAGCCCACGCCGACGCGTCGATGGGCCGGGCTCGGGACCTCCGCGCTGCCCTGCCCCGTGCGTGCTGTTGCTGCTCCCTGCAAAGCTTGTCGTCGCGGCCCAGAAATAATGCCTCAGTGCCCGCCCGCCCGCCGTGAAAACACCTCTTGCCAATGCCGCGTTTATTGACGCCTCAAATGCCATGACTACTACTGCCCGTGCTCCCTCCCCCCCCTCTACGTCTTTCTAGTGGTTTCGGAGCCCCAACCGCCGCCGGTGTGCAGGATTGCCGCTGGACACACAGTCACAGTTGTGTTTTTGATATCAGCTTTGTCACCGCCAATCTCCGTCTATTCCCTTCACACACCCCCCACCTTGTATCAAATACATTTTCCGGAGACTCTGAGAGTTGTCTTTCCTTCAACCTGCCTGATTCTCTTCTCAGCAAAAAACATTCTTTTCCCTCCTGCTTCTTAACCTTTCCCGGACCTGGGGACCTCTCCTGCGCCCTCAAAGCCGCGGAATCATTCTCTTGCAAATACCACTCCCAACAAAGACTTCCTCCATACCTCGTGATTCTCATTCTTGCAGGGAGATATCTTTGACCACCACGCCAGCAGAGCGGAAGCCCCACCGGGTTTCTCTGCCGATCCTTCCTTTCGATGGCGCCGAACAACCGCGGTGCAAACACTACCTATATCTCAGAATACACCCGAGGCCTAACCGGGGTGGATGTCCGCTTCGACCACCTCCTCACGCAGGTCCTATGCGTCTCGCTAGGGGCCGTGGCCGTGCTCGTCCTGGTCGCGAGGGTGGCGCAGATGGGCCACTCCTATCTGCGCCGCGTCCTGTCCGCGCCCGCGACGCCTCGGCAGCAGAGGTTCTGGGGGATCGAGGAGTCGCCGACCTGGTCGAAGCTCAAGAAACACTTTCTCTACGCGCCGCTAGGGAGGAAGAGGCACAACCGAGAGTTCCAGATCTCGACCGCTGTCAATGTCGGCACGCTGCCGTCGCGCTTCCACATGATCCTGCTGACGCTCTACATCGGCAGCCAGGTGGCGTATTGCAGTATGCTGGATTATAGCGTCAACAAGAAAGCTGCGTTGATCGCAGAGTTGCGAGGGAGGTCGGGAAATCTTGCTGTTTTGAATATGATACCCCTGGTTCTGTTCGCGGGCCGAAATAACCCCCTGATCCCACTCCTTCGCGTGAGCTTCGACACGTACAACCTTCTCCACAGATGGGTCGGCAGGGTGGTAGTCCTGGAATCCATTGCGCATACGGTTGCCTGGGCCATCAACGCGATCGATGGCGCCGGCTGGGAGGGCATGTGGGATGCTGTGAAAGGTGACCCGTTCTTCGTCTGGGGACTGGTCTCCACGCTCGCGTTCACGTTCCTGTTCATTCAGTCGCCGTCGCCCCTCCGGCATGCATTCTACGAGACGTTTCTGCATCTGCATCAACTAGGCGCGCTGGTGGCCATCGTGGGTCTCTACATGCATTTGGACGTGGACAACCTTCCCCAGCTCCCGTGGCTACAGTTTATCATCGGCATATGGGTAATTGAACGCACCACTCGCCTTGTTCGACTCATCTACCTCAACACATCTCGCCGCAACGGTGTCACGAAGGTCATAGCCAAAGCGCTCCCCGGCGAGGCCACAAGAGTCACCTTTTTCCTCCCTCACCACGCTCGCATCGCACCAGGCAGCCATGTATACGCCTACCTCCCGCGCATCTCCCTCTGGATGTCGCACCCTTTCTCCGTTGCCTGGGTCGAAGACGGCCGACACCCACACGACGCCCTCGCCCCCGACGAAAAATACATCGACTCCTCGCGCTCCTCGCCCGACCTCAAACAGAGCCGGTTCGCCAACTTCGACGAAGAGCTCAACGGGCCCAGCCGCAAGCCCACCTCGATCACGCTCATCGTCGCCGCGCGCACCGGCATGACACGCCGGCTGTACAACGCGGCGCTCTCGGCGCCCAACCTCACGCTGGAGACGAGCGGCTTCGTCGAAGGGCCGTACATCTCGCACCCGTCGGCGTCGTTCGGCAGCTACGGCACGGTGGTGCTGTTCTCGGGCGGCGCCGGCATCACGCACCACCTGCTGCACGTGCGCGACCTGCTGCAGGCCGCCGACGACGCGGGCTCCGTGGCCACGCGCCGCATCTACCTGGTGTGGGCCGTGCGCACCACCGAGCACCTGTCGTGGGTGCGCGGCTTCATGGATGCCATCCTGCACCTGCCCAACCGCCGCGACATGCTCATCACCAAGCTGTTCGTCAGCAAGCCCCGGAGCACCCGCGAGATCACCAGCCCCAGCACCACCCTGCAGATGTTCCCCGGCCGCTGCCGCCCCAATGTCGTGCTGGACGAGGCCTTGGAGGACCGCGTCGGGGCGACGGTGGTTTCGGTGTGTGGCCCGGGTGCGTTTGCGGATGAGGTGCGTGCCGCGGCGAGGGAGAGGATAGGGAAGGGGGTGGTGATTGATTTTGTGGAAGAGGCGTTTACTTGGTAGGCCATGCATTTGTTTCATGGACAAGAAGTTTTTTTTTTTCTTTTTTCTTTTCTCCCCCTTTTTTTCAGAGGTGGGTGTGGCGGATGAGTCTTTGGCGATGTTGTTTCTCACGCTTTTTCTTATGCCCCGGAATGTGTTGATGCCCCATTTTTTGCTTCGATGTATATTCTTTTAAAAGACAGCATGGCGCTCTCGGAAATACGCATGTATGTATGTACATACAAAAGTGATGCATGTCACGACTTCTAGATGAAATATCATGCATATTCGGCGACGAATCTCTACTACTGTGTGCGCAGGCAGCTCTCTCTTCGGGGCATAGATTCGTATATATTCAAAACATAGGCTATCTTAACGTCATAATTTAGGAGTGTTCTTTGGGAGAGTAAGAAGGGGTATAGAGACAGTATGACAGTATTCAACAATCATTACAGATAACACACAAAGATGAATAGGTAATCAAGAAATCGCAAGCTAAGGGAGTGTCAATTCTATTCAATCGGAGCCTTCAGCAACTCCCATCACGTCGCCTTGGTCGGATACGACTTATTCGTCACGGGCGGCGGCGCACCCGCCGTCGTATTTCCTGGGTTCTGCGCCCGCTCGTCTATCGTGCTGTACTTATCGGCAAACGGGTTCTCGACCTGAAACTCCCCGGGCTGGTACTGGAACCCGCGCGAGGCAGTGTTTGCTTGCGGCCGGGGCGGGACGAGCGGCGGTGCCGCGGTGGAATCGATCGGGGACACATCACCGCTCATGATGCCGGTGGATCGCGTGGCCGTCTGTTGTTGCCCGGGAGCCTGGTCGACGGCCTTTCGGGGTATGGAGAGATTCGGAACCTGGGACTGGGAGGTGGGAATCGCGGTGGCGTCGGCGGCGGATGAGAACGGCGATTCAGTTGGGGCTTGCGGCGGAGCCGTGCTGGTGTGCTTTCTCGCGTTGAGCTGTGCTCGCTGATACTTCGACAAGGCGCTGGAGATCTTGTCATTCGTCTCAATGAGGGTCATCATCGTCTCTTCGTCTGGCGCGGGGTTTGTGGCTTCCATGTATGCCTGCAGCGACCGAGAGGCTCTCTGGCACCGGCTGGCAAATTCTTTGAGCATGTCATTGTCGAAGAATTCTGACGGTGGGGTGGATTGCACCATCTGCTGCAGGAGTTTTGCAGATGTCCCGGCTTCGGCTACCCGGCCTGCAAGCTCTTCTGGCGTGGGCAGTTTCCTTATTCTATGCTCGCTGGAAAAGAAATCCTGCCGGTATCCGGCATATGTTCCTTGCGCTGGTTGCTGAAGCTATCAAATTGAGAATGCGTTAGAGTAGCATTTTGATAAAGTAAGGGGCAACTTACTGGATGCACCCCAAATTGCTTGACAAACTTGTCCTTTTCCTTTTTCCACATAGTATTCACTTCTGCCAGATTTGTGTCATGTGCTTTATTTGTTGATAAGAACTCCAGAGTCTCCCTCAGAATTTGCTGCACGCTCACTTCCTGCCCGTCTCTCAGGAGGATTTTAAGCGACGAGACAAAGCGCGAATCAATGTTGCGCGTAAATGTAGGGCCAGGATTATCAGCCAGTATTCGGACCAGCATAATCGCATTATACTGGCGCTGAGGCTTGGAGGAGTTGGGTTTCAGGAGGTATTTGTGAAGGTGGCCTGCAGCGACTCTGGCGGCGGAGGGGCTTGATTCGGCAGCCTCGACAATGGCCGGAAGGTGGAGGTACTCATCGCCCTGCTGTTATGGACATTAAGTCAGCATCAATGCCTAAGGTGTAAACACAGACAGACGTGTCAATAGAGACACTCACCGGGCCGCCTATGGTCCCAGAGTCACAAAATGCGGTCTTTGCTCGGCAATTCTTGGTCAGTCAAAGCTCGAGATACCCCACCAGGAGGCCTTAGAAAGAATAACCAACAATTTCTCTGATGACGATGTCCTCGGGCGTGTCTTGAGGATACGATGCGCCATTTGGCGGCCACTGGATCTGCGTGCCTAGAAAAGAGCGTCAGAGTACCGTCTACACACGAACGTATCCGGGTCTCACTTTTCCGCTTCAAAGTCCCCACCAGGCGCTTCATTTTGGATAGGATAGCGGGTATGCTGTTCCAGTGATGTCGTGAGGGCGTGCTGGAGATGTAACAATCCCTCCAAACAAGCGACGAACACGAAAAACGCTCAGTAATGAGCTTACTAGATCATAAAGAGAGAGAGAGAGAGAGGCCGAGAGAATGAGAGTAGAATCGGGGCCAGGAGGGGATTCCAAGGAGCGGCACCCGGTAGTTATCACGTCTTCGAGGGGGATGATAGCTGCATCATCGGCGACTACCAACGACGCAACTAGCCGAACCTTAGGCGCTGAGACCCCCCTATTTGGCCGTTTGTTTACAGCGACACACCACCACCACCACCACCACCACCACCCTCATCATCGGCATAGTTACGTATTGGCATTGCGACAGCCTCGCCTCCCGGGCGCCTGCTCGATTTCTCTGAATGGCTCGCGGCAGCCAGGGACGCGTGGCGCGCGCCCTCCTGACGCCCCCCAGCCCGGCGCCAACGTTTGCTTCTGCCGCCCACCGCGGGATGCCGGGTTGGTTGGATCCAGTCAACGCACCCGCTTGGCGTGCCGGCTTTGCGATACTCGCTGCCTGGAATCCTTCAATGTTATGTATTCCATTCTGATGGAGACTGTTTAGGCAGACACGTTCTTGCCCGGTTGAGACCTTCTGGCTTCGATGTTTACTTTTGCACGGTGTGATGTGTACGTGAGTAGTTACGCGTTCTCTCTACTCCTTTGGAATGATTCCTGATAATCCTGGTCAAATGGTGATCATCTAGGAAGATGCCTAGTCTTGTAACTATCTCTTATGTGCGAACTGCACAGCCTGCTTTTGCCCGTCCCTCATGCCCTTATATGGTATCTAGTGCCTTTTTGTATCGTCCCCGTGCAATAAGTGGCTTGAGAATTGCAAGCTACTAGTTTACGTCGCGCTCTGATCAAACAATATTCGATACCACAAAAAAAATGTCAGGTAGTTAGTTAGGGTCAGCCTATTCCTTTCGGTTAATTTATGCACTCTTGACGAGCCCATTTATACCCAAATAGTGCTATGCGTCTGCTTTGCTTGGTTGTTTGCCCTCGTCGGCAATTCCCGCTGTTCGTCGAAGCGCCCAAGAATTCTTTCTTCTCTGGTCTGCCATCTCCAACAGGCATTTGCCCGCCCATTCTGTCGGTAAGCGGCCACTTTTTCTGGCATGTTCCACGTAGAATACTCGGTAAATAATATCAATGGTCTGTCACAGGCCTGGCAGGACGGGCATAGTTACTCCGCCCACTTCTACGTTTTCAAGCTAACAAAGCCACGGACAAGCTAATACGGTATACCGAGCGGAGGATTGACTATTCTATACCATTTGGATTAATATTCGCAGGCTAAAATATTGTCTATATAAATAAACGGTAATGGCCCTCTCACATCAAGTTCTTTCAGCTTCAAGTGAAACTATTGCGTCCTCATACGCCTTGATGATAGGGTCGTACAGCCTTTTTGGATCACGGGGCGTGCCAACAACAAGCCCGTTCTTATCATAAGGAAATAGTATGTCTCGTATAGCTCTACAGAGCGGTATGAGACAGTCAAAATATGGAGGAAATTCCTTCATCAAAATACGCTCAAATCCGCCAGCTTCCATATTGCCTCGTTTGGCGTTTGCAATGTCTTCGTAGTCATTAGTATACCAATTCTTTAGAAGGCTTTTTTTAGGCTGCATCGATTCTTGTTTAGCTTTTTTCCAGCCACGATAGGCGCACTGCCAGATCAACACATAGAAAAAGGACTCAAGATCGTGACGGTACGTGTGGTCTACATTGAGCAGTACCTCAATCGCCATGAATTCCATGGTACCGGTCCGGTGTCGTGCACCGCTTCGTCCACTCCCAAATTCCTTGGCAAGGTCAAGATCAATGAGCATGCCTGACTTACCACCTGCTTTGCCAGAATCTGTGATAATTATATTGTTCTCTGAAATGTCTCTGTGAAGGATGTTTCCATCAAGGTACAGAGACCGATGTGCCAGTATTGAATCTCGGAGCGCCATGAGCAATTCCAACGGTGACTCAAAATCATAAATGGGTCGGCCGGCAGGGGTAATCACCAGACAACGAAAGATACGATTGTCATACGGTTCATCCCCTCGGTCAAATAGGCTGGGTGAATGAACGGACTGGGCTGTGAAAGTGAGCTCATTCTCTGATTGCTTTCTAGAGAGCTTGTTGCTGGAGCGCGATCGTTTGATAATTTGTGGTCCAGGATCTGGTGATCTCCGCTTTGTAGACGGCCTGTTGCTGACACTAAGGCTTTGAACTCGGCTGGATGATTGGAACAATTTGACTCGGGATCCTTGCTGCGCAAATGACAATGCCGGGCTGGCATTGCTACTTCGAAAATTGTGCCGATTTTCGAAGAGCAGGCCCTCGCGCAGGTCTGCAATGCTGGTGAATGTACGGTGCCCGATGACCCTTGCGATCCCTTGGACGCCCCGCTGGTGTGCGAGCTCGAGAAGGTCCACCTCCGGTCGTCGTTTATCAGAAGTCCATGAGAATTTTGCCACGCCCTCCGCCATGCCACCATTCTTTGTGCGAAAGCAGCTTGTGCCGCGACACACAATGGAGTATTGGGAGCTGATAGGGACGCGATCAAGTTGAATTGTTGTATCCTTTCCGGTACCGGTAGCATTGACAGTTATTGCCTGTTTGCCATCCAAACCAGATGCCATGAATGTTTCAAGCCCAAGCTCTTCATCGCTCATCATCGCGTAACCTAAAATAACATGCAAGAACTGTTTCATGTTTTCTCGGATATTAAAAATGCCAGAGCTGTAGGGACCTGAGCGATCAAACACCCAGGCCTCCATCTTGGCCCCGCATACGGCAAATGCGTGGACAAATCGTCGAGTTGGCTGTGCAATGAACACTTCCCGCACGTAACGTGCCAGCTGCAGCAGTGTGCCTTTTGTCTGGATCTCATCTGATGACTTTTTGAGCTCCCCCACCACATAAATATCTCTCCAGTCATGCTTTTCATTTGGGTTGCCAGCGGTTCGGGCTTTCAGTAAAAGGTCAACCTGTCGCTCTGCTTCCGAACCAGTAAGGTCTGCCTTATTTCTGGTGGAAAAGTAGACACTACGCGCTTCTGGAAGGAACTCAGCTTGAAGGCGAAACCACCACTCAAGGACATTTTCCTGCGTAGGGGGATTGGGAAATTCAGCCCAGTCACTAGATGAGTTCAGGGCGCGTTCACAGAGTGCGCCCACCCGTGTATTCCAGGTAGTCCCTTCAAAGTATTTTGCTATGAAACCACCTACACCCCGAAAGGTGCAATCTTGTATCTCTTCAAAGATCCTCCCTTCCACTAGCAGACGAGTCTGTTCGGCCCCTTTCTGTGATGATGATGTGAACCGGACCGGGGTAGCGTCGGATGAGGGAGGAACAGTTGCTGGGGGTGTGGAAGAAGAAGTAGCGGCAATGAGGTTGAAGACAGCCTTCCAGATGTCAGTGTCAGCAGCATTGTTGACAACAAGCTGGATGAGAGGTTGATAGTGTTCATAACTGAAGGGGGCTCGCCGGAGGCCCAGATATAAGTCTGCCAAATCTGAATCAACCTTTTGGTCGGCGATCCGTGAGCGAAGATTGAATGCTGCATCCTGTCCTTGAAGGGCAATGATAAGTTTTGAAATCGCAGATTGGTAAAGTGTGTCAAGACTATTTATGGAGCCGTCATTTGATATTAAGCGTGACTCGTAAATATTGTCTGCCTCTTCAAGCAAACAGCGCAGATCGTGGACCGTGTGATTCAAAGGGTGGCGTTCAATGATAGAATTTTCATCTGGGGAAAGTTCGGTCATACTTGCAATGTTAGAGTCAATTGTTTGAAAGTAAAGTGTTTCCTAAAGTCGGGGGCATATGGCGGCCGTTCTCAGATCGAGGTATTCCCAGATCGGTAGCAATTTCCACCTTCAACAGAGAGGTTACGCGTGTTGTTTACCTCATCATCTCAGACACATGCTGTTAAGGGTCTTTAGCGCGACTTTAGTGTTTTGAGCTAACCCATTTAGGTACTTCAGCCAGAATCTGACCAGCACAGTGTCTGAGCTAATTTTCAGCTTTTTTACAGAAAGTTGAAAATTGTCATATAAATTTAGAAATTAAAAACTAAGTCAGTGTCACACACATTAAATATACTGCTTTAAGAACTTAATATAATTGTTTTTTATATAGATATTATTTATAATTACATTTAAATTTATTATAAAGTTTTTTCTTTAATTTACTTCATATTATTAGATTTTTTCATTTAATTATTTAATTAAGAAATACTGATTGATCAGTTTTAGTTATTCTATAAAAGTAGTATGTATATAAATACATTTTTTTTTAAATTAATATTTTTTTAGAATTTATCTGTCTTCTTTATAGACTGATTTAAGTTTTTATTATAAAGATTTCATATTATTGATTTTCATGTAATCTTTTTGATTCTATCTCACTCAATTTTTATAATATTATCATTTTTAACTAAGTATTATTTAAATTCTCTAATTAATTAAATAAATAATTTTTTTCATTAAAGTATACATTTTTTTTTTCATTTTTTACTCTATATTTGATATACTAGCTATCTCTGAATTAATTAAAAATAAAGTATACTAGGCTGACCACAGAGACAGGGATTTCCCAACTGAAATTCCATCCCTAATGCACTAATGGAAAATTGAGATGGGACTGGAACTTAATAGTTCAAATTGAGATGAAACTGAGACTTGAGTTTCAAGTACTAAGATGAAAATGAAACTTAATTTAAAGAGATTGAGATTATTCAATTAGAGATAGAGATTCTTAATTTCTCTAAACTTAAAATAAAATCTTATTTTATACTATTTTTAGTATCAAAATCATATACAAATGTATATATACATTTTGACTTAATGTGCCAATTTTTCTATTTTGTCATATTTTGGTGTAAAAATACACTTTCAAAATAAAGTTTGAAAAAAAAATAAAGTTGTTTTAGAGATAGAGAAATTCAGAAATGAAATATATCATAAAAAATTTGAAACTGAAAAGAGAATGAGACTTTTATTCATATTTTGAGATGGAATTGAGACTAATTTTTAAATTTTGGGAAGAGATTGAGATCAACTTAATTGAGATTGACATTCAGTCTTGTCTCTTTGAAATCTCAAAGGGATCTCAACAGTCAGCCTAAAGTATACATCATGTTGCAAAAGTTCACAGAAAGTAGTAAAGAAGAGATGAACTTATTTAAAATGATTTAGAAATATTTAATGATCTGATTCTTTAGTACTAAAAACAGAATCTATTTATAATGATAAATGTTAGATTTTATTAATGTGAAAATTGAAGTTGCAGATAGTGTGACAATGATTTATCAGTCTTCATAGATGAGATTAAATTAAGTAAGAGATGATTATGAAGAGATTTAAATATAAGAAAAAGAAAGATAATTTATATGTAAGATGGCAGCCTATAAGATAGGTGCTAAAGAACAATGTACCAAGTCTACAGTGTAAGAAAGGGAACTAAGTTGCACTTATAGTATCAAAGTAGTATTGCTATATGCACAGTAAGAGAAGAACTCATCACTGACCTTCTGTGAGAGAAGGTCAGTGTGGCTTTAAGTACTAGTGAGATTAGAGCTATGCTAACTAATAAGATACTAGCTCTTAGAACAGATCTAGTCTACAGTGAGCATGACAATTATTCTTCTTTCTTGTAGACATCATTCTCAAGACTCTAAAATGCAGCATAGTGATTTAATTAGACATCAGATTGCACTGTCAGCATTCTAATTTTGAAATATTAAAGCATACAGTTAATAATTTGCAATAGTGTTAAGTGTTGGTGTGGGTGAAGTTCACAGTGTTGCAGTGTTCAAATGTGATGTTGATGTTTTGTTGCATCAGTGTTAATTGAGCATCAGCATTTCATTGTGCTGACATTAATCAGATAATTAGTGATGCTGCACTGCTGACATTAGCATGAATGTTAGTGTGGTTGATGATTGTGTAGTCATCAATGTTAGTGTGATGCTAATACTTAGTGAATATTAATAACATCAGCACATGAGCTTTTTCTTCTTCTTTCTTTACTTAAGCATTGCTGCATCATCATCACTGTTATGTCTCATCACTTCTTCTGTCATGCTGCTTCACTATCTGCCATTCTTTACATTGTGTGAGTATTGAATTGATCTGTTCATGCCACTTTGGCACTCTTATTGATGCTAAATGATGTGATGAGAATTTTGCTTTTGCACATTGTGGATTGTTAATTCACAATGTTATTATGCAGTAGCATTTGCTACTATTATTTTGATTTTGCTAATGACTCTTGACTTATCTATACTATTCATCATTAGTGTTACCTGGTCAAACAGAGCTACGGAAAGTTCATGTGATTTTGGTTGTGTAGTAAAGATGCTTTGTTCTTGTTCCCTTGAGCTTTAATGATAAGCTTGAGGATGACTAATTACTAACTAATCTACTTGAGTAACTATGTACAGGAGGTTCCATGTCAGTTGCTGGGGAATATCTTTTAAAGATCAGTGTCCTCACTGAAAGTCAGTGCTCTGTTGCTAGTTAGAATTGATAATCATAGTAGGGAAAGTTGAAAAAGAAAGACATCTTCTCAATGACAGCTTTGTTGATCAATTTAATATGTGTCATTGAATATAGAAACTTTTTTCAAGCTAGGGTGGACATGATCAGTTGCATTAGTGCATATATTTTAATTTGACATTGAGGGTACCATTCTCCATCTAATGCAAAGTTTTTCCATAGTTGTAGGGTGTCTTTTGAATCCTGTTCTAGCACACCAGTGTCATCAATCTGTGTTAGAAGTGGATAATCTTCAGCTGTTGCTTCTAGTGCTTGTAGATGAGCTGGATGGGCCTCCCATTGGTGATTAGGAAGTTGTAGAACTTTGTGTCTGATGAAATCATTTAAAATGAATTGACATTTCATGTATGAGTCTTGTTTTTCATCTGTGCTTAGTTTGAGCCATTCTTGAATTTCTTTCATTGTTATAACATCATCTTTGTCCAAAGCCATCCAGATTTCTGTTTTTATTGCTGTTGGTGGTTGTATTTGGATGGGTTCTTCAGAGAATTGACAGAGAAAGTGAATGAGTTCATATTTTGTAGATCTCAATAGTAGATGTTGGTGATCTTCTTGAACTTTGTCTAACAGTTCTTTAAAGTAGGTATCAACAACTGATGTAATGAGGGCTTGGGATACTAGATGTCATTCCTCTGACTTTGGCATGTTGAATTTTTGCTGTTCAGGGAAGAATTGAAAGAATTTGAGACATTGGTCTGTGGTTATGGCATATTGGACATTTTTGTACTTAGTGAGTGTTGCTGTTCATTCACTTGATATTGCTGATTGTTTGATTATTGTGTCTAGTTCATCTGTGGTAAGGATGTCATCAGCATTTAGTGCTGAAAAGTCCATGAAAAGATAAAAGATGGGGAATTGTCTGTTTTACAGATAAAGTACTTGTTCTTCTTGAGAATGTTGTGATATCAGCTCTTGTTCCCAAAAGGGGAGATTGTTAAAATCAGAGAGATCACTATTGATGTTTTTTGATGAGTTCAGTAGTGGTTGAGATATTGATTCATTGTGTATTGGTATTTCTATTGCTAATGTTGTTCCTGCATTTGAGGTTGAAACTTCCATTTCATCTGGTTCTGGTGATAGATGGCTTCTAGGTGTTCCCCAATCAAGTGGACTGTTAGCATGGTAGTCAGAGAATGTAGGAGATGGTATGTTATCATCAGTGAAGGATGCAATAGTATGACATTCTGAGATATCATCCTGTGAGTTGATCTTTTCAGCAGATTTGAGCAATCATTTACTTTTTTGAGTTACTTTTTGCTTGACTGGGGTCTTTTTCTTGTGTGGTATGGCTTTATTGCTCAGAGCTTTATGTTTGTTGTGGTTTTGCTTTGGTGTGGGCGTGTTGGGATCATCATTTGTTTGGACAGTTTGTGGGCTAGTTGGCAATTCATCATCAAGAAATGCAAGAATGTTATTCTCTGATTCAGAAGAGTTGAAGATGTCTTCTGGAGCTTCCATGTTGTATTTCTTTGTTTGAATTTCTTGTCTCCCTGATTGACTGATATATTCAACTGGCAATTTCTTTTGGGAGTTCTCCTCAGAGAGGTTCTCTAGATGGTTGATTGCTTCATTGATTATCATGTCTGTTGTTTCTGGCACCCAAATTATGATATTATGATTTTTGAACCATTCATGTTGAAGAAATTTCTGCTCTCATATGATCTGACTCTCTCTCCACTGAATCATCTCTTCTTCATGTTTTCTGTTGATTTCTGTTCTGATCAGTTCAGCTTGAGTTTGCAGGACTAAAGCAGCTGCTGTTCATTGTTGCAAGATTATGAAAGGTTCATCATATTGAACATGATTGTTGTCAATATTGTGTCCCACTGAATTGCACTGCTCAAAAAAAGGTGCTCTAGCAGATAGATGAATATAAACTCATTCATTGCAATTTTGTGTGATGATTTTGTTTTCTGTATGCTTGTTTGTCATAATTTTGTCCTTCCATGTGTCTGTTGTCATTTCTATCTTAATTTGAGTAAGATGCTGTGGTTCTGGTGCAGCTGGTGGAGAATTGTGTGATGAAGAGCCCTGGAAATTCCATCCATTAGCAGAGTGGAGTCTGACTCAGGCATTTTCAGGTATGAATCATAAGATATAGCCTGCTTGAAAATCTGTCTTGTCTTCTGGAACTTCACATTGATCTTGGAGTTTATGTCATTCTTTGGCACGAGAAAAGATCTTTTGTGCAGATAGAATTGTGGACT